GCTGAGGAAGAAAAACCACCCAATCACCCGACACCAATGATGCCCATGAACCTTTGTAAATGCACAAGTCTATTCGGTCGTAGCGCGCATAAAAGAACTGCTGATTTTTTTGAACCCAATTTTTACAAACCAACGTGTGGCTGAAGAATGTTCGAACTTAAAAACGTTCGGCCAGGTCACCACCGGCAACGGAATTCGCGGTCGACGAAGTGACCGACGAGAATCCACTACCAGGATTCAACATATCCTGAACGGCGACTTTCGGCACCTGAGGGACTGGCAGCTTGCGCTGTGTTCCGTCCGGTTTCGACATGATGTCCGAGATACTAGGACCATGGTGACCCTGGGAAGGACTGTAGTAGTTGGGCCCTTCCGGTTGTGGTTCCATCGGAGCAAGAGCTGGTGTGTGGTGGAGCGACAGATGACGGATAGACGGCAAATGCAGATCGCTGGAGCCCAGGGGTCTCAAGCGCGGCGAGTGAGCGGGGGTCGCCAAGGGAGTGTGATCGGGAGTGGGTGAGAGGGAGTCGTGGGAGAAGGTGGGAGAGGAAGGAGCAGTCGAGTTGGGAGAGTTAGGTCTTGAACGTTTCACACGGTGCGAGTAACCGTCGTCGTCTTCATGTGAATGCGACCGGCTCATGTTGTGTGTGATCGCGTAAGCAGACAAAGAGGGCAGACGGCCACTTCCGTGGTGGCGCGAGCTGAACAGATGGTGATTGCGTGGCCCTGCATGGAAGCTGAAGTGTTCGTCGCGTTCCACCTGCGACGCAGCCGTCGCCAGGAGGTTAATGTCCATGCCCGACGATGCCCGTTCGCTATTGCGAGCATACGGGCCCAAGTTCGACCGCATGTGACTGGCGTAGTTGGAGAAGGAGTGAGGGGGAGAAATGTCGGGGGAGCCGACCTGCGACACGGGGGCCGACCGGGTCATTGGCTTGCTGGGAGGAGGCATCATAGCGCTGGCGGTGTTGGCCATGGCGTTGTCCTGCCCTGCAGCAGCTGCAGCGGCCGCGGCCAGATGCTGAGCCTTGTTGCTGCGCCTCGAATTAGGGTTGTTGTGGATTCGCGAGTGGCGCGTAAGCTCATCAGAACGACTGAAGCGCTTGGTGCAGCCGGGGAATTGGCAGGCGTGCGGCTTTTCACCCGTATGCGTGCGAATATGTCTTGTCTGGTGCTCCAGACGGTGGAACGCGCGATCGCAGAGGGGGCACTTGTAAGGGCGGGGAAGATCCTGACGCACTTCTTCGGTCGCAGGCCGGGCACCCTTCATGAGCGGCGGAAGTAGGCTGACTGACGACGCCATGTTGGAGTTCGACTGTGTGCTGGACGGAGTAGAAGGAGTCTTGGAGCTGTCCACAGGGGTGGAAGGGGTAGAATCAGTGGAATTGCTTTGAGGGTTCAGCAGATTTGAGAAATCTACTGAAGAGGCCGGTGGCGGCATGTGAAGCTTGTCCCAAGACCGACGAGGGTAAAAAGGTAGGACAGAGCCGGGTTTAAAAAGGACACGTTCGGAAGGGATGAGAAGCCGAGGCGATAGTGATGCACGTCGCGACCAGGGGTAGCTATATCGGCCAGTCGATCACCACCCGCTAGCACCCCAGACCTAACCTTGGCAAGGAGAGATGATAGGAGGAAGACCGCAAGGGTAGTGAGGATCACAGGGCCCTGATGACGAACCAGGGCGAAGCGGTAATCAATTGTCAATTCAACCAAGGGCTGATAACAACGAATTCCCTTTCAATTATTGAAGGGATACGGAATGTGTGGTAGTTATGATAAGTGTTGGGTGAAGCCGGAATCGGATAATGGACCCCGGGGGTGGATGAGTAGCGAGCCGGACAAGGGTGATGTTGAGCAAATGGTCTCGAAAAGAGGAGGGAGAAAGAAAACCTGGAGAAGATGATCTGGGGAGATGAATATATAAGAAGAGAAGAAATCGGGAAGGGCGAAAAGATGAGGAATGGAGGGGAAGAAGAAGGAAACGGAATTCGGGGGAGGGGAGGGAAAAGAGGGCGACTCGTAGAGGGGGTGGGTTATCGGAATCGGAGAGCAGAATGGGAACGCGAAGAAAAAAAAAAAAAAAAGAAAAAAAGAAAAATCAAAAATTGAAAAAAAAAAAAAAAAGATGGATAAAAAAAAATCGATGAAAAGGGAAATATGATTAAAATAAAAAAAAAGGGAAAATTAAAAATCGAAAAAAGAAAAAGACTATGTACTTTGTGTGGGGATAAATATCGGGGGGGGGCAAAAAAAGCAGGAAAGGGAAAAAGAACGTGCTTGAACCAGATCGGCTGCTTTGCTTCTTGGGGCTTCAAACCGGTCAGTCAGCTTTCCTAGTCAGATGGAACGCAGTGCTTTGTCGTTATCATTTCATGCTCTTCTCAACCTTTTTATAATTTCTTGCCTGGATATATGATGTTATGATCATTTGGTATCTACCGCTCTTATACTCAGTACATGAGTTCTTCGATGAATATATGGATATACTCTCTTTAAAGTCTTTGAATTGCCAAACGGGTGTCTCCATCAGTTGCCTATCTCGGGGCTTCTTCCGTCTGGTTTTCGGGCCACGCACGGTGTGTTAGAAAAATTTCACTATTACTGACCGGGAAGAGAGGGTGTCAAAACCGGTAAGGCGTGTAAAGAAAAAAAAAAAAAAAAAAGAATGTGGGGCGGACTAGAGTCAAGAGGGATTACGGAGTAGAAACTGGAACTGCAGAAGTGGCTGTGTGGTCTGGAGAAGTGCGTGCCCCGTATTGTTGGGTGTCGGTAAGGTAAAGCTGTAAGGCCCCGGGAGGGTCTCTGGGGTTGTTGGTTATGTGTACGCACAGTATTGGGGTTTTGGTTGGTGGTAGAGGTGGTGGTGGTAGTAAGTAGTGGTAAGAAACCCTATCACGAACACGAACATCAGCAGCAGCAACCCGGTCTCAGACTTCGCACCGGCTATCGCGGATGATCTGGACAATCCTTCTCGATAGGCGACCGCGTAGATACCTTAGTTTCCCCATCGGTGTCGGTATGATGTTCACTCCGGTGGTGACCAAGCGCGGTTGATTACGCGATTTGTCTCGCCGGTCGGATAATGCGAGGCAGGAGGTAGGCAGTTTCCAAGAATCATCATCATCCATGTGATAGCTACCCTACTTTAACTTGATTGTTCATGCTCACTAGCCATCGATCATTTGCACGGGGAGAATCCGAATCATCATGATCACCAGTGGGGGTGGTGAAGTTATCTAGGCGGTAGGTAAATATGGTGTATTGATCTCGACCGAAAGCGTGATACGGTCAAGCGGAGATGGAGGATCGATTCAATTCCTCCATCTATCCACTACTACTACTACTGCTACTCTAGAAGGGGGGTGCGGCAGGCGCACACGAAACGAATCCCTAGAATGATGCCATTTTGATGATTGTCGATGATGGAGGTATGAGGTGATGATGTGCCTGCGGATGCAAGACTCATTTCTGGTTATGGTTTATTATTTGCTCATTTTTTTTTTTCTTTTTTTCTTTTGATTATTTATTTTTCGTGGTTTGTTTTTATTTCCTGGCTCTCCTACGTGCGTATGTATTTCCCCAACCTGTCTGGGGCATTACCGGGGAAAGAATTTGTTCGACGAGATCTTCGAGACCGCCCAGTCCAGACCAGCTGATCGACCATCATTCAGCAATGGTTGGGTACTGAGAGAAGTAGATAACCAGCAGGGGAGATGAACTCACATCGAATGAGAGTTCCCAAGTGACTCGAGGTGACGGGAGCGGTGATCATAGACAGGGCAAAGCGAAGGACCTGGTAGGGCAGACCGTTGCGCTGAACCAAGAGTCATACGATGGGCGAGATCCAATACATCATCATCCCCATGGGACGAGTTATCTACTCCTATTCCTTCTAACCTAGAATTTGTGTAGGTACCTCCGACTGTGTACCTAAATGAGGCTGCTGACGGAAACCACTGGATGGACTGGAGCACACGAAAAAGAGCCGGGATGACGTCCAGCCTGTTGCGGGTGAGGGCAGACTGACCGCAGTCGGGGGTTCAACTTTGTGGGGGAAGGACAGCATTGCATCAGCCTCATGACTCAGACGAATCATTGGCTCCGCCAACAACAACAACACTTCCCTTCAAGGGGGGCGAGGCGCAAGACGAGGCGAAACTCTCAGCTGGGCTTGCATTCGGATAACAAACTGTACCCCAAGAACACGACGATGACTCGACCGTGTCATCTCTGGATGACATCCCTCCGCGGCAAGGCAAGGCTACGTGGGAATGGCCAGCTAAGAAGGTACCTGCCTAAGTATGTAGGTACCAGGTATGTATCAAGGACAACTTGGGAGGGATTACTGTTGGCACCACGATTCGCATAATAACACCGGCTTTTAGACCCGTAATCCCGAATAGATTCCCATTCCTATTTAACCGGTCCTGCTAGGAACCCCCCTTTCAAGCGCCCCTGGGGTTATTCAGCATTAGTGTATAACTACCGAGAAGAATCATTTTCCCCCTCAAATGCAACCCCCCTGGACTAGCGCTTAACTAGAATCTTCACCACTTCAGAGGACGCGCCGCCCTGCATCGTGTTTCATCAGTGTCAGGCACCCACGTCTCCGTCAAGAGAAACAACACGGGGCCGCCAAACAAAAAAAAGGGGGGTTAATGTGAGACCGTAACTATGTGGGAGGGAACGAGGGCTCCGGTAAGCTCGGAAATTGAACTCCGCAATATCCCCAGGTCCACAACAATAGCTCTCTCTATCTGCGCCCGGAATGTACTATTCCCTCCCCAGACAGATAGTCCACCACCTCCGGTACTATCCACGCAGCTACTAGATATCTACGTATAGTATGGCTCTTTTCAGTTTCAGATGGGGAAATCTCCATGCGGAGATTTTGCCACCGGCTGTGGAGCCTGTACATATTAAACTAATCGACCGATGACATTGTTCGCTGAATTGCACGGTGCTATCTAACCGGGGCAAAGAAAGGCCCAGGCGTCATCGGGATAAAGAAAGATACGGTCTCGGCAAGTCCAGCCAGCCAAGGGCTTCACGGACAGCCCTTCACGCGCTCGCCATCGCTTCTAGGCTTAATCTAGGATTCCATATCCGTAAATGGGTGGTATAATATGCTCTCATATTTTTGTTTTATTTTCTAATGAAATTCCTCCTTTTGGGGTCTTGCGGCATCCTTATCTACGGGCACGCAAGGGTCATAGGGATAGATTGTATGCCACAGGTGGTGAATGACAACATACATGTCAGTAGTAGTGGACTAGTGGACTTGCATTCGAGGAAGCTCACTAAAAGTGCTACTAGATACTTACTACTCTGTACACTATATGAAATATCCGAGCTGGGAATATTGTTCCAAAGGAGAGTCGAAGGAAGCGGGAAATATGCATCAAGCCGTCAGAACAGGCCGCTTAGTGGCAGATCAGATCACAGGCACTCAACCCTCCCACCCCGAGGGGTCCGCGCCGACCGGGGACTAGTACTAGTAGTAGTAGATTCAGCAAGATGGATGGATGGATGGATAGATAGATAGTAGATACCAGCTCGCTCCATTCTTGGAATTGAAATGTGCTTTAGTCTGCGGAGTCAAGTATGGGAAATCAAGGTTCCAGCTAGGCATTGTCATCGGATAAGATGCAGCAGGGTCATGTATCCGGGCTTGGGTGTGTAACACATGCCACCTCCATGGAGACCTCCCCCAGCCCACATTGTTGTCACCCGCGAGAATCGAGGGTGATGCGATGCTGTTATCTCGAACCCTGACCAAGGGGGAGAAACCCGACGGATGAAACCCCCACCAGGGCGATATCGTGGTTTTGTTACCAGCTCTGATAGGCTAGACTCGGCTGACGGCCCTTCTTTGCGATCAGCGGATATCGGATCGTGACCTTGAATGGTTCGTTTGTTTGGAGCCTGGGGAGTTTCCCCGGCACGGCGGGATCAGAGAGGAAGGCGTCGCGACCTGGCCGATCACTAGAAAATGAAAGGAGGGGGAAAGTGACTAATAAGATTCTTCAGATAAGAAGAAGAAAAACACAAAAGTACTACTACCACTACGAGACTACGACACAGTACTAGTATACGTACACGCTTGATCATTGATGGAGCAGGTGCCGCTCGCTGCAGATACCAGAAGGTGGCATGGGACATGTTCTCTTTCTCCGCCTAGAATTTGTGAGGGGAATCGGCCGTCATCCCCACAGACACCTGAGTATCTACAATACACACGCACCATACTCCAACTCTCTTGGTAGGCATAATTGGAAAGAACGCTGACTCGTTTCCTTATCTATACGGAATGATAATTGTGTATTGCACAAATTTTCTTGTGTGGGGTGGAGACCTCCTGTCTGGTCAAACATCTCTCACTACATACACCTGGTGCCGGACCGATTGCCGGCACTTTGCCGGTCAGTGAATTAATTAATCCCAAAGAAGGGGGCGCCCAGCAATCACCCCACCATCTCTCCAGACTTGGGATGGTGGGACAAATGGGGAAAGAGAGGAATGAGGTTGGCACGCAGGTACCGCTGCCCTGTACGTAACCACCCCAGCTAGCCGGAGCCACGTACGTTTCTCATCGCATTATTATTGTTATTATCATTACTACTACTAATATTATTATGATCCCGGATAAGGAGGGGAAGAGGATCACAACCTTTCATTTGTTCGGATACCACCTACCACCACACACTCACTGCCTGATCGTGATGGAAATAGCATCCCTCCTTGCCGTTTGATTGGGGGTTCGGATTATTCCCTCAAATCCTGATCAGCCTGGCATGGCACCACTCCATCCACTACAAAGGGGACATTTCAGTTTTACCCCGATGTGGCACTGTGGTGGCTGTACTAACCTTTCTATCCCGGCCCCTCCCAAGGCAGATAGATTCTGCCTGTGGTTATACCATTTTATTTTTATCGTTTAGGAGCTGTCATGGGCCAACTACTTTGAGGGTTGGTAATATTCGGCAACCAACAACATCAGCCCTGATTTAGCGCCCATGTATGGCTGAGCATTGAGCCGTTGCGCTTAGAAATAGTAGTAGTAGTTGGTTGTTTGTAACAGGGAAAAAGGCTTCTTCTATTTCTCGGTCTTTCCAGTCTCCTCGCATCCGCTCTGCATGAAGCCCCAACGCACTATTGAATCAGACTGACGCTGATCATGGTGCGACAACCCTGACCCCATAGATAGTCTAGAAGGGGGGATCCATTCTAGAGGACCCCGTAGAATCCCCGGGGCTTGGGTTATCAGCAGAACGAGCATGTAAACCTGTATCTCAGTGGCAATCCATTTTTGAGTTCCCTTTACCCCGTTTGTCCATCCTTTACAAAGAGGTATTGTTCATTGCCTCCTCCGCTTTTTTCGACTCCGAAAGACGGAAGATCTTCCCCGCGATCAACGCAGCCGGGGATCGACACTCAGATTTGGCCAGGCCTCTAACCGCAAAGGGCCATCCCTGTGTCTAAGTCCGGTCACTGGCTCGGCTTCACGGCGCCATGATATGCTCTGGATTACTCTTTTAGGAGGGAGTACGACGCGGATCTACCCTAGCCAAGCCTAACTGACCACTCGGTTGCAGATAACCCTCTCTGACCTCGTCCCGTCTGCAGTTAGTTAGTTGTTCTTGATGAGAAGTCTGCGAGTCACGAGTCACTACCACGGTAACTACCAGCGGCAACCGTCTCCGCAAACCCAAGAAATGAGAGTTAGAAACATAAAAGTCAATGAGAATGAAGAAGCAGGGATTGAAACGAAAAAAATGACCCCCCCATTGTCCGTCACGTTCAGAGAGGATCATCGTAAGCGCCAATATCCTGGAAGCCGTTTATCCGCCAAAGGATTTGCGTTTCGCAGGAACTGTTCTACTGTTACAGTTACTGCTTAATTGCTTAGAGGGGAATTGTGTGCTCCGTAATGACCCGCCAGTAGTTTGACGAAACCCCACTGTGAGATAATAATTTGCTTCATCTTTTACCGACCACAAACTCATCCACCAACCGTATAGCGCCTGGCGATCCGATACGCGATGGTCTATCCCACACCCCTCCAGCAGAGAATGGTCGATGCATTCATTCATCTAGTTGGACTTGGGATCATCCTCTAGTCTGGTGCGGAGTACGGAGTATATCTCTACCAGAGCAGATTGTCTCCGGACAATGAAAATCCGTTACTAAATACTAGCATCATGATCAACTTTCATCACACATGCTTTACTGGATTTCCCACCTTTGGTTACATGGTGATTGACAACATCACTTCCCCTCATATGAGACTGATGTTCGGGGCCCTGCATTGAGCCAAGTCCAGAACATCGCCCAGACGGGATCATCTTGTTTGTACCTTTCTGAGAGGGTGAGTGTGAGGCCTCTCATTGATCACGATGCTTTCCTTGACCTGACGTTGCCTGATCTGTTGATGTGGGGTTATCGTATGGTGTCAGACAATCGACCCACGTATGCACACCGGCTTTCCTTTTTGTTGCACGAAAGGAATAAAAAAAATAGAAAAATCCTTTTTTCTTGTTATCTGAACCCCTCATCACCTAATCCAGTCTGACAGCTTGACAACACATAGAAACCACCTCTACTTGTGAGTGAAACACAGGGGAAAAATACCATGGGATAACCTGGAATCCTGCACACCCGCCGAAATGGTACGCTTTGATTCCCATTCCCTGCCCACAAGTCTAGTCGCCGAGGGGCCGCCTGAAGAAAGGAAGCGCAGCAGTTACATGTGAGCGCATGGGCCGCAGAAAATAAAAGACAAATTCGAGACTTAGGCTGCGCAGCCTGTCAGTCTTAGTCTGCCTTGCCGTGCGGATCGTAAATGTTTCACGAGGAGTACTCGTACTACCACCAAACACTGGGGGAACCAACCAGAATGAAGCTCCAAGCTTAAGAGGCAGATCTTATTATCAATATCGATGATACATTGCATGCGTTGCCTTCTACTGATTACTATTTTCTTCTTCTTCTTTCTTCCTATATGATCACACCATCACTCATCAGTCACCTCGTTCACTTTCTGGTTTCTGAACTCTGGTTTCCCCGTCAATGGCCGGTCGGGCATCCGGTTGCATGCAATGTGGGAATTACACCGCTTGTATGAAAATTCGATTACGTCTCATGAAAACATCTCCAGAGGCAGAGAAAAAAAAAAAAGGTAATATCCACTGATCTCCGCAGGAAGGGGCAAAACTTTTCAGCCATTCATGCTCTGATGCGATGAAAATAATAGCCACGGCAACCAACCCCAAGTCATGACGTGTAGAGACAGGAATGTTAGCAATGATACTACGTACTTACCATTGTGGACAGTTCTGATTTCGTCAATCCCCAGTTGGGTAAGCCGCCGGGTAGATCTTTGTCACCATACTGATGTACCCGAGAGTGCCCTAAAGGACCAACCACACAGTGGAGTTGTGCCCTGGGCGTTTTCAGGGCTCAAGAGAGATAAGGCAACGAGTCACCCGAGCACGAAGGTAAGGTATGCAGATGGTTGCAATTTCATAATTTATTTTTCAGATGACCATAGATAGCCAAGAAAAGATAGCATGCTAGGATATCACTTCCTACCACTTACTGCTTGCTCACCACCACAACACTTCTGAAGGCGACATCAGAATGCTTGGCGGCTATGTGCGGGGGTGGAGGGAGAACTCTGGGGAATCTCCAGATTGAACTATCGCTCATGATCATTCGCTCTACCAAGAACCCAGCAATTTACGACCTCTTGGCCAATGAAAATCCCCGTCAGCAGAAAAAGAAACTGATAATTAATTACTAGTACTAGTAGCATGAAGGGTGGATGCTAATCAATCTACCCAGTGTGGTGTGCATGAAATGCTTATCAGGCAAACTGAGATGATCTAGTGTAACACGGAGCTGGGAAGGAGGGTGAGTGGGAGGAGCTGCCTAGCTGGTAAGTAAGTCGCTAGCTATCTTTGCTAGGTCCGGCGTGCTGGTGGGTGGTGTGTATCACCGTGACCATACGACGGGCACTGATTGCGGTCGAGGTGCAAATCCCACGGCCCAACCGATCTTAACCACACGCACCCAAGGAAGGCGCGCGCCCCCCTCCCCACAAGGCGCCAAGTTCAGCGATCCGGGGATCCACAAGCTTCTGGAACGGGGCGTCTTGACCAATAATATCATAGGGGCCGTATCACGGTGATATCGCCGATTCACAGGCTTCACAGCCGCTGCCCCCAGGTTATGCGGGGCCGCGCTTCCGGAATCCGGACGCTTCTACTTTAGTCAAGACGGTACCGGCCATGTTACTGTATGGAGGGTATGTGTCGTATTGGGTTGGTGAGTAAGTAGTGGTGTGGTTGGAAAAATCTTGCTTCGTTGCTGTCATTGGTCATGAAGGGAAGAATGTGAGTTGCTTTTCTTATCTGACAGCATTTGCTGCGATGGATTGAATTCCTACTTCATCTACAACATCACCGATCCCATAAACAGGGGGAGGGAAAAAAACAGGGACACGGACAAGGACAGATAGCGCGCGGGTAATGCAATCCAAACCCCCAGGGTCCTTCAACTTCCTTACGTGACGACCATATTTTGCAGCCCGCGTTAGTAGGGGTTGCCGTCTTGTCTTTACCGGAGTATAGCCAGTGGCCAAATATTGGAAGGAGTAAGTACTCCGTATAGAGGACTGGAATTTACCCCGAAGTTATCCCTCCCCAGGGAACCAACGAACCGCTATCCGCTGAACCCAACACTAACCTTATGTTGTTTTCCTCCCCCCTTGTTCTCCCGAATCACACCATCCAGCCCGTTTCTGCACGAATGCCTGTCTACATCCCTCCCCCTCCTCCGTCCCTCCGTCCCGTCTTCGACATGGATTCTAGGTACTACTCCTCTTACTCCGCAGTAACTTTCTTCAATCTATTCGATTAACCAATAATTGGCCATGTTGAAGTTAGAATTGTTGCAACCCGGTGAGGGCGCCAGACAGACGGGCAGGCAGAAACAGGGGGGAGGGGGAGAAAAACCGGGGATTGTACGGAGTAATCTTTATAATTTCTTTTCTTATTTTTTATTTTATTTTCCTTACGGTCGCTTTACGCGCGCGCGCACGCCGTTAGCTACTTATCTACCTACTTACTTACTTTACGGGGTATGGGACGCTACAACGCTATGCTACTTTACTTATCTCTCGTGTTGTGATGACACGTCGCCTGTAAGGTAAGCAAGCAAAGCGGGATTTTGAGGGGGGGAAGGTACGGCGAGCGCCGGCCGCTGACACCCTGGTTGTTGTGGCGTTTTTCACCTGCCTTTTCTTTCTTCCTTTCAGTCCTTGGATTATACTAGGTAACCTATAGTTACTACTTATACAGAAGGAGTAGATAAGCTGGTAAGTTGCTGATTTTCTTGCTTTGCTTTGCTTGATTACACAGGATAAGGAGTATTCAGTCTCGGTCGGGTAAATTGCCAGTACCTGAATCTAAATCCTTCAACTAAAATACTTACTATCAGCATTATTATCGAACCCCGTGTCTATAATTATAACCACCAGCAGTGCCAGTGCCAGTGCCAGTCCAAGCTCCAAGATAGTGTCGTCTATAGCTTCAGTGATGGGACTTTCTCCCCCAAACCGGTAAAATATTAATGAGGATTGACCCGACCCCATTGCCAAGTGGTGCGCTCCTTCCTCCCTTCCTAGTTCCCTCAGGTCCTAGTTTGCTTTAGTGAGGTACTAGTGTAGGTGGTGAAAAAGCTTGGGGCCGGAGGGGGATGGAATTATGATGATGGGTTTGAGATAAGGATTTTTTCTTTTTTTTCTTGCGGTTAGTTCTTACTAAGTACATACTAGGTGATGCAGGGTGATGATAATGATGATGGTGGTGGTGGTGCAATTGTCATGACCATGCCATATATTCTATACTACTTACTACGATACCCATTATTGTCTGTTTCTTCTCGTAGGAAAACAGTGAAGGAGTACCGCCGTAGGCAGACATACACACGGACCTAGCACTACTAACTAACATATTAATTTATATATCGACTAATTTAGTAGTTAGCTGCCCCTCTCTTCTTCTTCCCCTCCTCTCGAGCTATGACGACGATCTCGGGGGGAAGTTGTGAGGAGAGGAGAGAGAAGACCAGAGGCTAGAACTATGACCCCTTTCACATGATAACCAACTATAGTATGTATCGACATAGTCTAAGCTTGCAGATTGCAGTTTTTAGCTAGGTTACTTGACTTCAACTTCTGCACGGCATATGTAGCCTAGTACTAAGTAAATACCTACACTGATGCTTTTTTCCCCCTCTGTTGTAGTTATGTATCGATGTATGATGTAACATAAAGTGTAATTTTGTATTGTTCGTTATTTTTTTTCCCCCAGACCGCCACCAACTAAATAACCTAATGAGATTTAGTTAATACAGATGGGATGGGATAGCGGGGATAGATGCCTAGGTGGGATAGAATAGCCAAGACAAAACCCAAGACAACAACGAAAGGGGGGTGATGAATGAATGATTGGAATGATACCAACTACGTACACTCTTCCTTTAACTAGATAGTAGTAGTATGGAACCATAATTTCTTTTGCTTCATAATACTAATACTCGAAGGTGAGAAAGATACCAATGAGGGAATTACCCAATTGGGAATGATGGGGTAAGAATGGAAAGAAAAAAAAACACACCAGACGGAGGAGAACAGAGAGTCACGGAAGATGGCCGGAATTGCGTCATGAGAATGATTTGCAGCTAATCCAGGAGTCGAGACATGGGCCTGCCTTAGTGGCGGCGCACTGCCGCGTTTCTAGATGACAATCTCCCGCGTCTGGAGGACTGGATCAGGCTGTTGACTAACTAGTACTTAGTCTAGTAGCGCACCATAACTGGACAAGGGTTGTTGTGTGGATTGTGTGGGCTACGGAGGGGGAGAAAGGACCGGAGATCCGGTGTATTAGATAATATCGGGTTCTAATCTGACTAGTTATGTTAGTTGATTCTTGTTGCTTTGCTTTGCTTTGCTATCATCATTATCGTACAGTTAGTTATGTAGGTGCAGCAGCAGCAGCAGCAGCTCAGCTCAGCTCATCTCAGCTCAGCCAGTCTACTCCGTAGTAGTAGCTTTTGCCACGTCAGGGCACTACTACTTTTTTGTCTTTCCGCTTCGCTTTGTTGGGGCGGGAGCGTACTGTCGTTATCCTAATATCTCCTTCTAGTGGTACTGGGTCCTTTTTTTTTTGTCTGCCTCTTTACTCCGTATGCATGTGATGATTTGACTGGACTAGAGAGAAAGGGAACCACTCGTGAAGAAATTTCGCGTAAAGAAGAAAAAAAACCAACCAAGGCACCACTCACCATCCTCAAATCCAGACAATTTACGAACAAATTCCGGGACAGAACCTGCAAGAATGATACGGTGATCGGATGATTTCGGGATAATTCCGGGCATTCTTCCCCTCTGGGGCCCGTCTTGCGACTAACGGGGCTGGCTGGATAGTTTATCAGGGCGGATTGCGGAGAAATTTCTTACCTAACTTGCCCCCTCCTCTCTCTCTCCAGATGGGCCGGAGCCACGGGCTGCCCCGAAAAGGGTACCTCGGTGAAGGTACCTTTGCGGTTAGGCGCTTTTTCCTGCCCTGCCATTCTTTCCCTTCTTTCCCCTTGTGACAAGACTGACGACCGACCTCCTCCTTCAAGGAGCTTGGTACTCCGTAGCGGCGTAGCGGCCGTAGAGATGTCTCCTACCTATCTAACTAACTAAATACTACACTAGATGAATTTTTTTATCCCTCTAACGGAGTACTTCCACCCCCCTCCTTCGCCTTTCCCAGGTTTGATTGCAGCCCACCAACCACCCCTTCACTTTCCACTCCCCCCCCCTCCCTCTTCCCCCCTCTCTCTCTTTCTCCCCCGGCTGAGGCAATTTTCCCATCCATCGGCATGTCCGTCCCGAGTCCTGGAATCTTGCCGAGTCTGTCCCGAATCCCGTGGTGGTCTGAGCCGTCCTGACTGGCGGCTTCCCTAACCAGCCCTGATTTCTGGGGGTTGATTTCCGGTGGACGGAGTACAATCCTCCCCCCCTCCCTAAGGGTCACATTAATCCGGTTACTGTTCCAGGCAATCATGTAACTATTCTGGAGCCGTGATGTGGCCAATACACCGGTAGCCCCATTGTTTTCCATTTTCCATATTTTTTTATTTCCCCTCCGTATGTCGGCATTTACTCCCTTCCGGTAGAATGTTTGCCCTGTCTATCAGTCTAATGCTTATCACACGTTAAAGTTTTCAAGTATGGGCTTCTAGTAGCATTTTTCCCATTTTCGCCCCTGGCTAGTTTTACTCTGTATAGTCTGAGTTTCTCGCTTCTGCAAAACTGGGGCTTCAGGGAATATAGCGGTGAGCAAACAAAATTTTTTTCCTAGCCAGATGTCCCATCTTGACTCACACGAAAACGTTGCCAAAAAAGACAAGATGTGTGCCCAACCCGGTTCCAGCCATTGGGGCCATCTCTTTTTTTTTTTTTTTTTTTTTTCCTGTCCAGCGTTATGCCGTCGTTATGTGCCATAATTGTGCGAAGGTGGATCCCTCTCTCCTCACCCCAGTCAGGACTGTCAGACCACCCCCATATAGTTACTACTTACGGATACGGAATAGTAGTTATCAACTAATCGGCTACTTTAGACCTTAACCGCCGGATTCAGCTGTCACGTGTGTTGGGGTCGTTATGAGTTACTCCGGACGGAGGTGAAACCCTGACAGATACCCCAGGCACAGCCGTGTCAAATCCCGATGCCCATCCCTGCTTGGGGTGATAAATGATATTCCGTCCAATCCGTTCAACTGATAGGCGGAATATTTCTATCCCCCTCCCTCGAGGGGATTTCCCCATCCTATCATTGACTCTCCCCAGGCCTCAATTTCACCCTCATTCATTGATTAGTAGTAATAACGTAGTAGTATCCTAGACCAGGGTGCTTAATATCGGCATATCCGGACACGTGCCGGGGTATTTTACCCTCGTTCGAGCATAGCTCACCCAACCAACTGCTGCCCATTACTACTAGTAACTATTTACTACTACCTTGTTGGTGTGCTCGTAAGCGCCACGGGAAGAAGTATGGTGTGAGATAACAACAACAACAACAATAACAACACGGGGCAGCCAGGCACCCGTATTGCCAATGGCCATAAGCAACAAGCACCCATGATGCCATCCGATTGGGTGCTGGGATAATTGTCTCGAACGACCGAATCTGCCCATGGCGCAGGTCGATAGGCATGGAATTGTTCTAGTCCTATAGTCTTTATTCAGGGGTACAGTCCTGTCAAGCCCCTGGTCACGGGCGCTCAGACTACGCCCATGACGTCGGATCTTGCAGTGCAGAGACAGTGCTCTCTGCTCTTCCAGCTCAGCTGAAGCTGTGTCTCTGCTGCCTGGGCTGGGCTATGACCCTGTGATGGTGGGAGGTGGAGGGGTCTAGATAACACTCCATCGACCAATCTATCTTCTTCTTTCCATGCTCTTGGTGATAGGGATGAGGGTCGGCGGTTTCGAATCAGGTAACAGCCATGCGCCGGTTAATATTGAGGGTGTGAGAGTAGCCGGGCATGAGTCCAGCCCTTTTGGATGCCGAGTCCATCTACTTTACTTCTTACCCATCCGGGGAGATGGTGCTTCGCCATTGTTCTAAGGCAGAAGCTGCTTTTGTACCCCACTGCTGGTGGGATAGACAATGGGTACTTGCAGTATCGTCTCTGATAGTCAGTGTTACTAGTGGCATTATCGTGAGTGCACGTGATAAGGTAATTGATACTGTATCCAACTTTTGCTGTTTATGATGCAAGAACGTGTAAGGTTGTTTCCTCAAGGTATCCTTCTACGAAGGTAAATAATGTGTGAACATGTGATCTTGGTGTAACACTCTGGTCTAAATCGTGTTTTAACCCAAGGACTGAACTTCCCCCGTAATAGGTTCTTGAATAGCTTGAAGGCTTGAATTCGTCGACAATCATCATCACCAGTACCTAGTGATTGAGAACGATGAGTGATACCAACCTTTCATGCTGCATGATATCCGTGTTGTCTCTCACCTCCCACCTCCGATACTCGTGACTCTCCACACCCCGGAGACATGTCCGATATGGTGATATCAAGACATATACTGAGCGACTTGGCAGTCCCTTAGAATCAAACATCAACAATGATCTGTCAGTTCTTTCTTCTGACATATCTCATACCAACCACCCCCATTCCTCTTGTCTCCTTCCTTATCTTCTCAAAGTATATTCGGTAATATTACCCGATGCGGTCGCGATGATGTCGCGCCTCAATATTCTGCCGCGTCTGCCCGCCTCCCGTCGGCCGAAGCAAAAGTCATTCAGGCATGCTTTTTCACCATTGCGATTAGTCTTGTGCTGTTGAGAGCCGTTCGTTCAGTTGTTGCCGGTGGCTATTCATTTCCTGTAACACAATCGTTCGGGGCTGCGATTGCCCCGGCTGCCCTTTTCCCACCATCCCTCTCCTTTCCCTCTTTCTTTCTCTCCATCTCTCACGGCCATGGCTCCCCCGCGCCAGCGGACGACAGCCGCTCAGGATGACTCTCGCTCTGAAGGCTCCAGCACTGCAAGAGAGCATAAAACGACAACGGGAAAGTCTCGTAAGGGTGCTGGCGGTGCTGCAGCAGTGGCCGCTTTGAACAGTCGCGAGGCAAAAGCCTCTGCGAGTTCTGCAAACGTCACCAGCGCTCCAGCTGGAGGCGAACAGGACAATCTACCAAAGGTACGCTGCAATCGGTGTTAACTGGCTCTTTCTTCATTGTACATTCACTATATTCTCCATACCACTACCCTGCATACTGTGGTATCATATCTGACATGGATTGGATGTAGATCCCCTGGTCCGAAATGCCCCTCGAACTCCTCCACTCCTACCGACATGCCTACAAATTGTCTACCCCAAGCGCGTTCTCCAGCGAATACTCCCACTTGCTACTCTCCCGTGGAATCGGACTCCGATCACCAACTTCTATCGCCGCCCAGAGAGCACACCTAACCCGCCAGGATCAGACGACGAATGGTTCCCAGTCGAGCGCATCCACATCCCGAAAAGCTCTGCAGAGCAATTCCTCCGCCCCGAATGGCGTCAGCACAAGACACAAAGACCGTCCGTCAAACAAAGGCCCAGATACAATTGATGTCAAGGGTGCGCTGCATCAAATAATTGGTCAGGAAAGGGTGTGCAAGAACCAGCTTGCCGTCACAGTGCGCAAACACTTCAACAGCGCTGGTCTTGCGGAACAGGAGGCTATTGCGCGGTTCCTGTACAAGGTCCGTGAAGAGGGACGAGGACGACACTTCCGTCTCAGATTCCAGCCATAGTTCCTGCACCATTCTTCCATGTCCTCGTCTTTCCCTCTTATTACCTACCTCTGATCTTGGAAAGAATCATCCCGGACCTGCGGATATGTCGTGGGCATAACCTCGGCTCATTGTGCTTCTGGTCTTGAGCACAATTTTTACGGGCTCCGGATTGAATCTATTCCAGGGGACTCCACGCCCTCTGTTCCCCCCTACTCTTCACCTTGAATGCCTCTCTCTTTTCACCGGTCACCGGGCATCCTAGTTCCTTTACCTTTTCATGATACCCATTGGTGCTAGTTCAGATAAGTACTTCTTTCTTACTCCATTTCACTGTTTCCTTTGTTATCCTGGTCTACCTCCGCCGAGATCACTACTCTCCTGTCTGTTGCCCTTGAGCCAAGATCCTTGTCATGCTGGCTATCCTGTGCGCCGCATTAGACCCTCGCCATCAGTGCACTACTCTTTCCTTCTCTGGCTCATATACTTGTACATTATCACTCGGAAATGGGATATATCGGCGTTTTATCTTCCATGTCTAGACTAATTGCAATAATATACCTGCTCTGGTTCATATTCGTACTAGTCCGTCTTCACCCGTCCTGGGTTATATATATATATGGAGAGAGAGAGGTCGGTAACCGTACTACGCATACTACCCCATCAATGACAACTACTAAGTAATACCAACTAAGACATGCATGACCTAGTACTAGTAACTTATTCATCCAATTGCATTTTCCTCTCACTGTCTGTCTCTTTGCACTTCACTTATACTCACTATGTACATTTCACTTCATTCCATTCGACATTTGGTACCTCCACTGTTCCACCGGCCAGAACTGAACCATAGAACAAGACACGAAGGATAGGTAGCAACAGCAGCAGCAGCAGCAGCAGCAGCAGCAGCAGCAGCAGCAGCAGCAAAAAATAAGGATAAATAAAACCACTAAAACTAGCTCAATGAATAAAAAACGAGGAAAGAAGAAAAGAAGGAGAGGAATACCTATTGACGACTAACAAGCGCAAAGCAAAATGTTTCAGAGAAGCGAGAGTTGACGGGGGTGAAAACGCCAAAATGCATCATAAACATAAACATAAAAAAACGTGTCCATTCCATAAATAAGTCTATCATACTTTCATATCATGATTCCCTACCCCTGTTTTCCATTGTTATTCCATTCCATAGCATCCCATGAATCTCACCCCGTGCCATGCATGTGTAATTTGGTTAGTTTCATTTCCATGCATTCAGGCCAGCCCAGGGGTCATTGCCAGACGCAGATGTAGATTGGGGTTGGGACTGCGAGGGAGCTTTGTGGTGCTGGGATGTGCCGTAGGGTCTGCTCTGGGCGTAGCCGCCAGGACCCGTTGGGTACGGCCCCGTCGTGGAGGGGTAATTGGTCTGCTGGGGACGGGGCGGCGGAGGAGGCGGAACGTAACCCTGGGGCATAAAGGAGGATGGCGCTGCTGGCGGAGTGGGCCCGGCGTAGCTGAATGGAGTAGGGGTGGACGTGTAGAAGTTTGGCGGGGGAGAGATGGCCGGAGGGACGGGGTAGGCCATTGGGTTGTAGCCCTCTGAGAGAGGCGCTGCTGCGCCTTGTTGGAACGTCTGTCCTGGGACGTAGGAAACACCTGGTGCGTGGCCCATGTACTGTCCGTAGGGGGCAGGTGAATGCGAGATAGGGATGCCCTGAGGCTGTCCCCCGACATTGGGAGGGTACCGTGGGGACATCTTCGGTGAAGATATGGCGGGGTTGGGATATGCGGGCGTCTGGATGGCGGGAGGAGGGGACTTGACCTTGGACGGCGCGGTGGTCGTGGAGGAAGGAGTTGATGATGTCTTGGGTTCCGTAGACAGGCGCTCCATTAGCTGTCGCAGCTTCTCCCGTTCGCGGTCTTCCTGCTCAGTGGCATTGCTTGCCTTCTCCCGCTCGATTTGGCCTAGCAGCTGGGCGCCTTCAGATCGCCGATTGTTGATAAAGGTCTCAACATTCTTCTTCAGGCTGTCTACGGTCTCGGTCATCTCCTTGTAGAAGGTCTGGGCTTGCGCCGTACCCGACAGGAGACCATTGAATGCATCGTATATCTTCTTGTATCGGGACATCACCGTGTTGCGTTGACGGGTGATAGTTTCGTACTTCGATTGCTCGGCGCGTACTCGTTTGTCCTGCAGTAGATCGCCGTATATCTTCGTAAGCTCCTTCATCAGCGAAGCCTGCTTATGATTGGCCTGGAGGAGTCGGTTCTGGTGCGGACGGAATTTCTCCAGCTCCGCTTCGAAAAGCTGACTCTCCTGTCCAGAAATGGTTTTCTTGTTGAGTATCAGAACGTTGGAGATGTCGTCGTTGTGGACCTGTTTGAGCCGTTAGTCTTGCGGAGCAATGTGTTGAAGCCTTCACATAGACGTACCTTATCCTTCAAGTCTTTCAAGACCTGAGCCCGTTCTCTCTTGACCAGGTTCAGCTTCTTCAATATAGCTTCGACTCTTGCGATTTGCTCTGACACTGAAGAGCTGCCTTCGTCGTACACATCATCAATCAAGCTTCCTTCTGCCGTTGGTGCGTACGGGCTACCAAGCCCATTTTTACCCTTGCCCTGCTTGGAGCCAGCTTTGATCATGGCACGCTGGAAGAGTACTTCAGCCTCGTCTGTTTCACCTGCAGATCGCATCTCATCGAAGTCTGCCTCGTATTGCCGCAGAGTAGACAGTAGCTGTGAGTCGCTGGCACTCGCTTCATTGATGGTGTCTCGATAAGTTCGAATATCGCCCCGTAGAGTAGTGTTCAGCCTGGCGCTGGGCTGCTGACTCCAATCCGCTCCGTATTTGGAGCGCATCTTTTCGCATACACTCTCCTCCAGGTCCAATTGTTTAGAACACTGGTCTAGTTGCGCGAGAATCTCCACTTTGCGATCCTGTAGCCCATCGAAGGCCTTGATAAATGGTTGATGACCCGCAAGCTCCTGGCACCATCGTCGGAATTCATCATCCACAGTCACCTCCTGGTCCATCCCCCCTTTAAGGATATTCAAGCTACCCGGAAGTTTCAGATAATCAAGACTGGCCGCCATTTCTCCATTTGCCGTCTCAACTTTCTCGGTTTCCGCACGGATCAGCTTGGCTTTCTCTTCATCATAGAGACTGGCCGTTTCCGTAACGGACATCGGGACCAGTTTTTGGAAGATATCCGGGCCGATGATACGTTGGATATCCTGGCCTTGATAGAGCTCGCTGACAGGAATCGCCTTTGCGGCAGGCAGCTTCGCAACAGCTGACAAACCTGCCTCGCTGGGAATGGGTTGGTGATAGATGAAGTCGTTGTCCTTCATAAATACGGTAAGCTTGGCTTGGACATTGGCAAGATGATACTTGATGATATCGAGGAGGTTGGTGCCCGATTCGGAGCTCAAATTGGCATTCGGGGAAACCGATGATGGGAAAGACTTGGCCCATCCTAGTGCTGCAGTTGAGTTCTTCTCTGCCAGCTGCAGCCGAGCAATGGCCACACCGTGTGATCCGCTTTCGCTGTCCGTCAAGGCTTGGTAGTAGGATGCTACGGAGGCCATGTGCGCCGCCTTGGCTTGCACAACGATTGTCCAGACTTTGTCGAAGATTCCCTTTACAAACTCCTGCATTCCCTCAGCGGCCTGAGAGTACAGGTAGGCCGACTGACTTGCAAGTTTTGCGAGTAGACCGGCCTTCTTATTGTCCGCGATCTGCTTCTCCAGGAATACTTCTTGGCCTTGTGCGAGGGTGATGTTGATCAGAGCCTTAACAGTTTCCCGGTTCAAATCGGTCGACGGCGCGTGGAGGAAATTCTCGTTGATATACGTGAACATGCCTGCGGATGCTTGGAAAGAGTGATACGCGGTTTTGAGACCGGTATCTTCGGCGCGATTCTGGTTTGCCGCATGGCATGACAGAACGGCGGAGATGTTGAAGATAATCGATGCTTTCTCGAACGCCAACGAGTATTGCGAAGTAGGCTTCTGGGTAAAGGCATCATACCTATGCGAGGAATTGGAGCATTAGCAGACTGGAACGGCGTGGCTGGTACAGGAGAAGACCAAGGGGTTTAGGATACCAAGTGAAGGAGATCTTGATATGGTTCTCATCGACCGGAAACCTCAGGTCCAAGAGTTCCAGCTGTCCGTAATACCGATACAACAGGTCGCGGCCTGTCGCACTATCCTTCCCCGCGCCCCTCATGTCCTGGCGCAAGCGGTTGAGGGTCGCGCATTCTGAACTGTAGCGATCGGGGTCTTCACCGTAGCTCTGACGGATGTAGTCCTTGAGGGGTCGAATCCAATCGATCTCGTTGGTCTGCTTGAGCGGACACGAGATCATAGGCGATTGAACCATCTTGTTGCTCGGGAGGAGCGGGGAGCTCCCATCCAAAGGCGGAGAGACAAGCGGGCCCGAGGTCGAGCAGGGAAGTCAAAGTAGGGCGGACAAGGGCGAAGTCGCAGTGATCGAGGGGGAGGGTTTTCGGGGATGACACTGTGGGGTAACGAAGGTAGGCGATGCTTAGTCGTTCAACCCTGCGAGAATTGTGGTGGCCGGTGGTGGTAAGGATCGATAGATAGATTAGTCGCAGGGTCGCTAGTAAGTCTAGTCGTCCCCGAGGCAGCCTAACAGTAGTTCCGTCGTTAGCTCGACGATGATGACGGAAGTGGGGAGCCCAGCAACAAGACCAGCGAGGGAGGCGGGAGGGAATTGGGTGGTGTTAGTTGCTCGGGGAGGAGATTAGGCTTTACCTGGCAGGCTACAATCCAAGACGAATGACAGGTCTCACCTGCTGGGTGATAGAATCAAGCAGAAAGGAGTGGAGTGGAGTAGAGAGAGAGAGGTGGTCGGTGGTTGGTGGTGGTTGACTGAAGGTGATTGTGACGAGTTGCGGATGGGGGCGAGGAGTGTGCTGTGATGGGACGCTTTCTAACCGCCGGCCGTGACGGCCAGAAAGGCAGCAATGTGGCATGCCTGAATCTATACTTTCTCTCTTTCTCTCTGACACATCTTGCAATTTTAAATCTCCACCAGTCAATGCCCTGTACTCCTCCGGACAGTTGGACGATCGAAACTCTGAATTGATTACTTGTTTTAGAAAGAGAAGAGGAGAATGTCTTGGAGCGCTAACTCTAATCGTACACGACATACATACACACATCATCCTGAGTAAGTCTCTCTATAAACAACCCAACGTCACAAATGAATCAATTGAACGGATACAGGCGAATCGAATTATCCCAACATGCAGAATGGCACCAGAACCCCCAATCTCGCCGGCGCTATGATATTTTCCCGTAAACATAATTACACAGTAAGGAAACGAAGGTGTTTCGAAGGAGTATCCAGATTTTGTCGATTATACACATGTTTGTCGGGGAACTCCCTTTAGCTGGAGCCGGACTTCTTCTCGTCGTCGGATTTGTTGCTGTCGCCGCGGTCCTTCTTGCCTGACTCGCTACCCGAGCCTTCCGATCCCGATTGTTTGGAGTGGTTCATGAGCTTATGCCAGGCCGATTTGAGGAATCCCTCGTTTTTGGAGGAGTCGGAGGTGGAACTGGAGTCAGGAGTCGATCTGCTTCGCTGTCAGCAACACCGTAGAAGTAATTAAACTCAGGGTAGCTACAAAACTCACCCATCCCTGGGGA